ATGGAGCAAAAACAGGACGAACCCAACAAAGTGCCCAATAATAAAGTTACAATCAATGATCTTATACTAATAAAATTTATTTAATATAAACAAACTTAACTATAAAAAAACATTATAAAAATTTAAGTTAAGTCGTAAAATTGTGTTATACAGTGTGTTGTTTAAATAAAATGGTCTTTTATAAGATTTTTAAGTTTTGGAACACTATCCGAAAATAAATCTAAATCTATATCACTTAACAAATCATTACAATTTCTTATAATTCTCTGTAAAGGAGAATTTAAGTAGTAGGTAGTTAGTATTACATTGTTCATAAGAAAATAGATGTCTAGATCTAGTATTATATTGAGGGACAGCAAATTTAATATAACTAACAATTTCATTTGTCTATTAAATGCTTTAGTAGATTTTCTTTAAATCCAAATAGTCTGACACGACACAATTTAGCTCAAAGCACTCTTTCTAGATAAAATTTCAAAAGAGTAACTCAGAACCAAGCGTGTTCCTTTTTCCAAGTGTCATAAAGTACTGTGTGTCGTAAAGTACCCTAGTAGCAATGGAATTGGACAAGATTCTTTGTCAAGATACTTGGAGAAGCACTTTGTAAAGAATTGGACAATTCTTGACCAAGACTCTTGATCAAAATTCTTTATCCAGACTGGTGACAGACTTGGACAAGTCTGTGACCAGAATTTGACCAGATTCTTGGCCAAGAATTTTTACACGATTACACGTTAAGTAGGAACTTTCAACTCAAGATTTTTGGTCAATACAAAATTTTGTTGAACTTCAAAAGTTAAGAATGTTACTAAAAACATTAATTTTTCACGATTTCTTTCCAGTAAATTCGGTTTTTATCCATAAATCTGGTAAACAATAGAATTAAAAACGAAACAAATTTTGAAAGAGTTAATAGTTATTTATGTATTAAGGGCATAATAAGGTTTTTATGGTCCGAGGCGCTATTTCGAGCCCGAGCGCGTTAGCGCGAGGGCTAGAAAAGCGTCGTAGGACCATAAAAACCAGTTATGCCAGCAATGCATACAAAACTTTATGCACGATTAATATATTAATATTTTTAATATATTAATGTTTTTAAAGACGTTTACGTCAAAGAATTTTTGATATAATTGTCATATTATAATGTCAACTGACATCAGTCAGTTTTAAAGTTTAAAGATGAATGAAATTGAGGAAGCAGCTGAAAAGGCGAAAAATTGCGGCCTGCTGCCGGAAAAATCAAAATCTTTATACGAAAAAACTTACTTCGAATATATCAAATGGTGTAACATTGTTGTTTTTAATTTTTGACGTTTCATTATAGCCCGCTGGGTCATAATAACGCCCGCGGGCTATAAAAAGACGTTTACGTCAATGAATTTTTGTTATAATTGTCATATTATAATGTCATCGTGCATAAAAGTTTTTAATTTTCTATGTTAAAAAAAAACAGGTGCCCGTAAAAATAAACATGTATTTTATAATCTTTCATGTTCATAAAGAGTAAACTCTAGTTATGCGCCAGAGCTGACACACACTTTTTTTTTTTAATTTTTGATTTTTAGAAATAACAATTTTTATTTTTCAAAAAAATCAATTTTTTTCTCAGCTACAAGACGAATCCAATAAGCTTTTATTCGTATTTTCACATAAACAAAAAAACTATACTCATTTCCTACAGAGAACTCACTTCTCGACTAGTATACATTATTGTGAATGATACTACTGTAGAATGAGAACCTCTACTCTATAGGATAGTCCCAAAGTTTAGCAATAGATGGCCTCAGATTTCTGGTCAAATTCTTGTCAAATTCTGGCCACAGTCTGGCTCAAGTCTTGCCCAATAATCTTGGCTTAGAATCTGGAACAATTCTTGTACAATTCTTGAGCAAAAATCTGTCCAAAGTATCTTGACCCATGCTGGGCCAAGACTTTTCCGGAATTGCTACTAAGGTAAGTGTCAACACACCTCCCTGCTTAAAATACCCCATAGAGACCCTGCTCAAACCGATAGATATTTGTATCGGAATGTATGGTGTTTCTGTAGGGTGTATCGGTTTGTATATGACCCATAGTTGAGATTTATGGTTGTTCTATAGGGATATCCACCCTTGATTTATTTGCTATCGGTTTCAATGGGGAAAATACACATAAATGTAGAAATTAGTTTTTCCCCTATAGGACCCCATAGGTTTTAATAAAATTTTGTCAAATGTTTTATGGTTGCTCTATAGGGATATCCCTATATATCCTTCATTGAGTTATTTGCTGTCGGTCTTAATAGGGAAAATGTAAAAGTTATGGTGTGCCTATAGGTAATTTCCTATACATTTTCTATCGGGCTGTATCCGGAAAAAACCATGGACAAATGCACATATTGAATCCGGTAGCTCCCGATAGATTATTTTGTATAGGTCTCTATATGGGGTACTTTAAGCAGGGCTGACACTACATAAAGTGATAGCACAAAAGTGCGCCACAGCACAGTGTTACACATCACAATTAATTTTACTTGATTGTTATTGTCCCTAATCAGATTGGGAAGTGTGCACTGCAGTTTTATTTGTTCTGTGCCGACGTCTAATAAAAATTTTCGTTAAACATAGGAAGTTTGTATTCCTGGATCTAGTCTTCGTGGTTAAATGAATAGACAAAATTTATAGCTTTATTATTTTATTTAAGGAACAATTTAGGGGTCATCCATTAATTACGTGAGGCAATTTTGGCGATTTTTCGACCCCCCTTTCCTTGGTGAGATGTCGTGAGATTTAGCTCGACCCCCTCCCTTAATCTCATGTAAGATTTTTTTAAATGCATGGTTTTAATGTTAATAAGTTTATCTGTGATTGATTCCATTAGATTTATTTAAAAAAACAAATTGCTTATAATTGTTTACTTAATTTAAGCCAGTTTTCTCGCAATTTTACACTGTTTCATTCGAAAAGAAAAAATTACGTGATATTTGCCGAGACCACCCTCCCCCCACGTGAGATTGGGTGAGGTTTGGCTAGACCCCTTCCCCCCTAAACACCTCACGTAATTATTGGATGCCCCCTTAGTAAAAATAAGTTAGGGTATCGTATTGAGTTAGAATTTTTAAAGTAAAATAGTAAAATATTTAATTGTAATATGGTAATTTAAGAAAATGCAAAAAATTTTGAAATAGTTCTAATCCAATAAAAATCTAGAGGCCGTCATTTTCTGTAATTTAATAAAGAAACAAAAGCCTTTGATCAACCTTAAGATGATAAGAACTTTTATAAGAGAGATGATCACAATCGAGTACAGAAAATATTATGTACTATTTTGCAAAATTAATGTCAAAAAGTATTTATTAAAGTGGGTATTATTTACATGGGTTTAGTTAAAATTTATAATATGAGACGCGCTCATTCGAGAAAGCGAACATTAGGTCCAACTTGGACCGCCCTAGAACACTAATACATTTAATGATAACATTTCGAATGCGAATATTTCAGAAACAGTTGAATTTAGGATATGGTTTGTTATATGAATTATGCTCAGAATTTTACAAGGAATCGAAAAATAAATTCATATATAGGGTGATCCATTGAAAAAAAAAACTTTGTTTTTCCCTGTATATTGATCAATTTTTCATTTTTTTTAATACGTAGAAAAAAATCATTTTTTAGTAACTACATAACCACACTTTTAAATTTTTTGGGACACTTAAAATAAAAAAGTTAAAGGGGGGCGACATTATAGGGGATCACCCTGTACAATTGTGTTGTAACACTCGACTTCGGAAATTCGTATTATTGTCGATTTTTAAGAAATTAGCGCACATCATGGTATTTGTTTATTCTTTTATGGACTTGGGGACCAGCATGTAAAAATTATTTTTTTTAATTAACAATGGAAATTATTGCCAAAGTGTTTATTAAAACCTTACATATTACCCTTTAAACAAAAAAAAAGGGGACATAAAATTTTAAGCATGAGGATATCGACCGATTTTCGGCAAATTACGATAATTTAAAATATTCATATTTTAAAAAATACACTGTTATGCACAAAATCCCCATATAGGTGTCGGCTTAATTATAAATACGATGCTTTCGACATCAAAATGTCACATTTTATTTTTTCCCAAATCCATTCGATTTGTAAAAGAATGTCTCTTATACAAAAAAATGCGTACAGAAGTCAGTTCAGTCTGATTCACACCTTGACGACGTGTTTAGAGTAGCCCGTAGCCCGAATTTAACAAAATTTTCTAAAGTTTCCCACAATGTCAATAGTCAAATTGTCATTTATTTTTAAATAAATGATAACATTTAAATGTTTTATTGTAATATAGGTCGTTGCGGCCCACCTGATTTAGCAGTCATACGTATTTGGCCCCAGAAAAAAAGTTTGAGTAAGGCTGATTTAATTCAAAGGGTAATATTATGATTATAATAATTATTCCTTTTTTTTAATTCAGTAAGAATATTCTACCGGGCCGCAAAAAAAACACATACGGTTCTGTATTAACATAACTATGGTTTTATTTGACACATGGATTTATAAAATTAAAATTTTTAAACTTTTTAAATCATTTATTATATTGTAATAATTATTGAATATTTTCAATGGACTCCCTTTTGCAAAAAGAACCCAACCGACAGTATATTTAACGTTTACGTTTATTTTCTTAAATCAATTAAATTCAATTTAATGTTTTGTTTTTTTTGTTTTTTTCTGTAATAAAGGATAGTTTTTTAAATTAAAATAATGTTAAGGTGTTGATTACCACTTAAAATGTGTATATTTTCAATAAAAAAATTCAATTTGACCCAAAAAAGAATTTTTTTCCAAGGCCTGGAAAAAACAGGTTTTCAACTTTAAAACCTAGTAAGCGTAAGAAAAAGCCGTAATATTTAAAAAATAATTATTATAAAATGAAATTTCCCATTGAATTTTCCGAGCTCTCGAGAAAATACCCAAAGTTCCGGGAATTATCCCATTTTTCGTACTATATTCTGGGTCATACACACCGTGGATATACTTTTATCATTTCCAAAAAACGGCACACACTTAAAATTTAACATTATCCTGCACAAATTGTGTTTCACTAGACATAAATGTTTAATACGCCCAATAATGGAACTTCTCTAAAAAAGGGAACAATAATGCTATAAACACGAAAATGCAAATATTTAAAATGATAATAGAAATTACAAAACAAACAGTTTTTTTACTGCCCATTCATAAATTAGGTTACACATAGTTATAGACAAACATCGCGATATCGCACTTTTAAAAAACTGTTTATTTTTGCCTGCTCCACGAATACATTTACTTTGGCACTAGTCCCCAAATGAAATTAAAAATACCTGCACTTTTAACAAAACATAAAAGACGCGTCCCAGTAAATAATGTGATGTTCAAATTTATTACACTATAATCTCGGGATTTCGAGATCTTTCCAAAAGATCTAATTGTTAACTGTGATAATAGATCCAAAAGGATATGGAACATAATAAATAAGGAAACAAAGCAAAACCCAAATGGTGAAGCAAGAATCTACAATTACATCTAACACCTTTTTTTCAAAGTAGTACAAAATATGGACATCAAATTTCTGATTTTGATAGAGCAAGGATAATCACCTTATATCAACAGGGTTGGTTAAATCACCGAATTTTAACGACACTTGCCATACCTAGATCATCTGTTATTAGAAAAGTGCGAGTATTCCAAGAGAGTTGAAATGTGCATAGAAGACCAGGTGGTGGACATCCAAGAGTAACAAATGCAAGGGAGAATCGTTGAATAGCCAATTTTGTACGACGTAACCGCAACGTTAACAGTTTATAAGAACCTACAGTAGACTGATGTCTATACCTACAATTCGACGACGACTTGCTGATGCTAATTTAAAATCCAGACGACCATTAAGAGTGACTAGACTTACTAGGCAATATATAGCCACCCGTCTAGAATGGGCTCAAGAGCACATAAATTGGCTCTCACCGCAGCTGCGCGCAGTGGAGAAATTTCCTGGGTTTGGAGGGAACCAGGAGGTGCCGCACGACTGGCTATTTCCAGAGAAGTGATCCCATTTCAGGAAGGGACTAAAATGTTGTGGGGTGTTTTGCATGGTCGAGGGACTCGACTAATAGTAGTTACAATTGAATTATTCATATACCCCATACATTGACAGGAAATAGCTACCTCCAAAATATTATTAAACCAATTATTCAACATATGAGACAAAAACTGGGAGATAATTTCATTTTTATGGACGATAATGCTCGACCCCACCGAACAATAAATGTCCGAAATGCGTTAGAAGCAAATGTGCAAAGTTTGAATTGGCCAGCGAACTCGCCGCATATTAATCAGATCGAGCACGAGTGGGATATGCTAGGTCGAGCAATTTAAAGGGGGCAAAACCACCCACAACCCCTCAGGAGCTGATTGTACACAGAAAAAATGAATGGTTAATTTAAATATATTAATTTAGTTGACCCACGTTTATTTAAATCATCTGTGGGAAGGTTAATATAGAAGATTATTTTGGCGGTACTAAGCAGATAATTATTTTATTTTAATAAGAGTTACTTCAACCTTAAGCACTTTGTTAAAACGAGTAAAACAATTTGCCGTGCATTCCTGGTTGCATAGTATGTACCGATCGCGGCAAAGGCGGTGTGGATCACGTGATGTTCTTAAATCTCGCCTCTGTTGACTTACATGAAGAGTATATATGCTCAGGTAGTCCTTTGCTTAGGTGTGATACTACAAGTTGTTCGATACTAAAGAGACCTTAAATAGGTGGAAACAGCTGTCAATTCTTGAAGTATTTTATTAAGTTGGTGGAACGCACTAAAAACATGATCTCTAGCGAGGTAAAGGTTGAATTTTCTGGAATAATACCACTGGTATTATACTAGTAATGCGTGACAGGAAGTTCCTGGACGCATTATGCGTCTTGGAGAATATAAGAAAATGCCTTAAAAAATGTTTTTACTCCAAATATTTCAAGATCTTATTTTTATTGTTAGGTATATAAATGCGCCAAACTCTATGGGTAAGGTTATTAATCCATGGGTAAGTTGTACCAAGCCGTTAACCTAGTTAGGGTAAAAAATTATATTGAGTCAATTCAACCAAATGTATTTAGTACATTGGACTGGTACGTAAAGGTCACTTTAACTAAACTGATCGTCATAAAAAACGACGCACCTAGTTTTTTGGAAAATATTTGAAAGCTCGTTATTGGAAAATTACCTACTGAATCGATTTTGAAAATCTTTCGAAATTCTGAATGGCCAATTTGATTCTTATGTCTAATTTTGGGAATACGATATATTGCACATAGCATTATACTACAGGGAGATTAGACTGTGGAAGATGTCAAAAATTGATATTTATATTCAGGCAAATAGGAAAAAAATAAAAAATAGAATTTATACTTTGCAGCTTTAATAACAGAACATAAAAAGAAAAATAAATACATATAGCATAATTCATATTATTTGTGACCTGGACTATAGAAAGGTACCTATGGTCGGAAGAATCAATTTTTGTTTTTTGATCAAAATTTATAAAAACGTATTTTTTAATTGAACATACCGCAGACTCCTAAGTTTGAAACTTTTGCTGGAAATCATCCTTAAAGTTCAACATGAATTATAAAAATCGCGAAAAAAGTTATAAATAGATCAAAAATTGCTTTTTTTGATCTTTTATTTTCGTCAATATCCTGAAGAGACATATCGAAAGACCAATCTGGTACAACGTCATCTTCTATGTCACTAACACCTGCACCTCCACCTTGATCTTCGTAATCTTCACCACAATCCGCAAAACATTGTTTTTCCACTGCTTTAAATTCTTTTTCTAAATCCATTATGCACTTTCACAAACTAAAACAACTTTAAATTAGCTGCATAACAACGAAAAACCACGATCTCGAAAATACAATGATAAGAAAAGCAGCACGTATTATTCCAACTTTTTCAAAGTTCACAAAATTAAATATTTAGGGGAAATCACTTGAATAAGGTACAAAAATATTTATTGTAAAAGCACCACTGTATACTAACTAATTTCTACATTTATGAACAGAAAAAAATCTAACATAGTACCAAGAACAGCGCTGTCATTAAATGCATTAAAATTGAAGCAAACGAAATTGTTATTTGCTCAATTAATTACTATTAAACCAAAATAGGGAAATATTTTGCCTAAATGTCAAAGAATTTATTGCGTTAAATGTATACATAGTATAGATACTATAGTAACGTTATTAAATAAATCAAATTAGTATTTAATGCAATAACATTCTAACAAATAAATATCAATAGATTTAGAAGCGATAACTTTTGTTGTTAATTTAAAAACAGTAAACGATTATAAACCAAGTGCTAACTACCTATTGGTATTATAGGAACTGTTATTTAGGAATACGGATTACAAGATCCCATTGGTTTAATGGCTCACCCATTCATGATATGCTAGCGTTTTTTTTGTGTGTGTATTTTCCCCATTGAAACCAATAGCAAATAAACCAAGTGTGGATATCCCTATAGAACAACCATAAATCCCAACTATGGGTCCTATACATACCGATACACCCTATAGAAACACCATACATTCCGATACAAATATGTATCGGTTTGAACAGGGTCTCTATGGGGTATTTTAAGCAGGGAAGTACTTTTGATGTAAAATCAGTATTTTTCTATGGACAGTTGAATAAAGAGATCTACATGAGACCAAATGACATTCAAGAGGAAGGAAAATTATGCAGATTAAGAAAGTCGTTGTATGAGCTTAAACAAGCTCCTCATCAGTGGTGCAAGCATTTAACAAATTTTCTTAAATCAGAAGAACTAAAGCAATTGCAAACTAATCAATGTGTATTTAAAACAACGAATTTCAACAGCAAGCTGTTTGTTGCCATTCATGTGGATGATGGTATAGTGATAGAAGAAGACAACAATCAAGTCAAGAAAATTCTAAACAAAATGAGTCAACAATTTGAAATAAAAATAAATTATAAACCTGAGAGTTATCTGGGAATGCAGATTTCTCAGGGGGGAAATGTATGGCAAGCCGTTTTAGTTTTTATTACATATGGCTATCAAGTCTCATTTTAATTCGACTTGATTTCTATGAGACATTAGATAATTGAAATTATATGTATTTTCCTTAGGGGAAATTACATTTTTCTTATAATTTCAAAATTGAATGCATATTTTCTTTACAAATAGTAAAAATAATGCATTTGTTGTATTTATTTCCATTGGTTTTTTAAATATTGTCCTTAACGTGAAAGCAATTTTCGTTAATAAAAATGGTATTAAATTTACTAATTATAATTTTAATGCAAATTATTTTTACAGTTTTAGTTTTTTGGACCAATTTTATGACATATTAAAAGGATTTCATTTTAATTCAATTTTATTAAAATAGCTTCTGACTTGGACACAATGTTACATTTTATTTATGTTAGACCAGGCTAAGTATTAAAATAAAACGTATTAAAATTACTATTACGATTATAAATGCATTTGTCCTTAAAGATATAGTTTTATACTTTCCTAAATGCCATAAAAATTAAAAACATTTTAATTTGAAATACTCATTGAAATGTTGTCCCGAATAAAATTTAGAACCGCAATATATAGAGTATAACAATATTTAAAGAACCAGAAAATAACATCGAATTAAAATGAGACTTGATGATCATATGTACAAAAAATAGCCCGAATACTTTTATTTTTAACTAAACAAAAATTAACTTCTATTTCCGTTAAGGGAAATTACAATTCCCTTAACGAAAATGTTATTTCCCTTAACAGAAATGCTATTTCCCTTAACAGAAATTACATTTTCCTTAAGAGAAATTAGTGGCGCTATCTGTGGTGAAGGTGCCGAACCTTCCACCGCTTACAGACTTCTGCCAAATTTGGTTGGGATGCCAGAATCTTTCATTTTGTTTGAATGCAACAAATATGACACAATTAACAATAATGAATAATATTAATACTACAGTTTGCTATTTACTACTTCTTTTTGTTTTAATAACCTTTATTAGAAACGTCAAAACACACCTTACACATGCGGCGTTGCCACACAAAATTCGATTCGAATGATGCGATTCCAAAGTCGATCGGTGTCATCGCGATTCGATTTGGAGTGTTTCGTTTTCTCGAGTAGTACCCATAACTATTGATATTACTATTATTTTAACATTATCAATAACAATTTTCTGAAAATTCAATAATTTTGTCAATATTGTTCGATAATTTCACTTTTTACATCTGGCAACACTGGTGGGTGATATTTTGTGGGT